GTGAAGTCTTCCTTATATGCTGGAAAAACCGCTCTGCGTGGCTGCCAGTCGCTGAGCCCGAGGCAAGGAGAAACAAAAGGTGGTGAAGTCTACTGCTGGCCAACAAAACGTTTGGCGAGCTTGGAAAAAGACCTGCGACAAGTGTGTCACGTCCGAAGCGCCTGAAAGATGCCCTTAAAGACCTGCAGGTCCGTCATGTACGGCGCGAAGTGTGCCGACCAGGAAGGCGGCCTTAGCGCCCACCGGGAGGGCTCTCGAAATGCTTTTTTCGTTGGGCCGCCCCACCCCCACCCCTCTGGGCAAAACCTGGTCGGCCTTCGAGTCGCAAGGTGAGCCCCTCACATGCAAACGAAGGCTTTAGCAGAACCCGCACGGGTAAGGACAACTCCGTGTTGGATGGCCACCCCTACTCTGGGCGTTTCAGGATCTTGGATCAATCTGCGAGGCTTCAACCCGAACGAACCCGGCACCTTGGAAGACTTGAGCCTGGGAACGGGGGAACCCAACAGGCGCAAAGGTTTAAGGTAGCCGAGAACTTGGAAACCCAATCCACTTTTTGACTCTCTGCTGCAACCCGGTTGATCTCTTCAGGTGTTCTGGGGTGGCTTCCCGTTTTCCCTGCAAGCCAGGGACCCGTCAACCCCACCTATCCAAACCAACTCTGGGGTTGCCTGCACCTAGGGAGGTAGACTGCAACCAGTTGATTTGAAGTCGACCTATCAGCTTTTCCTCTAGTTGGGTTCTTGGCTTGGTGGTTTCGAGTTTAAGGCTTCGCCTGATCTATCAGGTTCCCCCAAAACCCCATGTACCCTCTACAAACGCCAAGGCTTCAATTCCCCAAATGGCGGTGGGTCAAACCCCTGTACCCCTGGTGAACATCGAAATAGGTGGCACATGGATGTTCATATGTTCATCCACCCCCAAAATGGGATCCGAGGGGTTCTGCCCCATTCCCCAAATCATCCATATCCACACCGCCCATTTCGGGGCGTCCCTGGCTCCACGTCGACCAAACCTACGGCACCCTCTGAGGCGGCGGCACGGGCGTCGGCAGCACGCTGCCCAAGGCGCAGGTGAAGATGGCCACAGGGATGGCGTTGTAGAGGTTGGTCTCCAAAGCCTTGTCCCAAAAAAAACAAAAAGTCTGCGGCTCCAAAAAGGCGTGCAAAAAGAGAGGGTACCTGTTTCTTCTTATGTTCTTGGTTTTTCGGGAAAACAAAAGTATACCTTTGTGGGGAGGGGGGTTAAGGACTTCCCCCCCAGAAAAGAAAAAAGAAGAAACAACAACTTCTGGGGGAGGGAGGGGCTTGAGTCCCGGTAGCAGTCTCAGTGGCTCCAGATCTGGCTCAAAACGGCTCAACATCCCCCCTACGAACTGGGGCCCCCCACCTCCAATTCCGTGTTTCTAGTTCCCACAAAAGCGGAAATGGAACCGTTCATGAAATTCCAGGGGTCACCCCCCTCCCCCAATTTCATTTTTAAGAGGGTGGGGATGCTCAAACGGCGTGCCAAATGAGAGGGTACCTGTTGTTCACCTTCTTGGTTTAGCGGGAAACCATATGTATACCTTCTTCTTGCGCATTGGCTGAAATGGAAATCATAAACGAACCGCCGTTTTGTGGGTGCCTGGATTTTGATCGCACATATGAGCTGCCGTCAAAGTCAGTTGTCAAGGAGGTGTTGTAATGTAGTCACCGCTTTTGGTGGGGGCCCTATCGTTTTGTGAGGCTTTCTGCAGATCTATGCTGCCAACCCCGCTTTACTAAAGTGATCTACACATACTTTGACCGTGACTCATATGTATGAAAGGGCAATGCGCCTTGGGGGATATTGAAGCGCAAGCAAAACCCAGAGGATGTCAGTCCTTCTTGTCAGGAAGCATCTATGCAGGCATCTGTGATGGAACCGTTCTTTGGCAGGAGTGTTTCTCGAAATAGGACTCGAACTGACTCCTGAAGTGGCTTTCCTTTCGTGTCCCCTTAAAAACCCAGCAGAAAAAGGGGAGCTGCACTCCCAACAAGCGCCGAATGAGCGGGTGAACAATATGGTCCTTGGACCCCGGCTACCAAAGAGAGCCCTCAAGTTTGACCACTCAGTGCATTGGACGCTCAAAAAATCGACCAAACATTCCGACGACAGGCTTCGATGATTTTTGATCAGAGCTAAGAGTGGTTTCACAGTGCGGGGGCCTTGGCTTTCCACCCAAGCTCTGCTCAAATGACATCTTCGATGAACCAATACTACAAAAGTCTTCTTTGCGCAACCTTCTGCCACTGGGAACCCCTTGCAAACCAGGAACTAGTCACGGCCAAACAGGGCTCCTTACATTTCCCCCTTTTGATGGTTGGAAACCTCACTTTTCCGATTTGATTTCAAAGCGAGGCTCGTTGAATCTGAGGGTAATGTTTACAGGTGAACTGTGGGCGTGTCGATTCCTTGTCGGATACCCTTTTTGAGCTTGGTCTGAAGAGAAACCACCAATATACAACCAAGATCCATGTCGACGCCCCTGGTCCAGATCTTTATGTGACACGTCCCAAAAAACAGATCGGGTCCCCCAAATCCCCATGTTAGGCCCATTTGCTATTAACTCCCCTGGGCAAAATACTTGCAGCGCAAAATCACACATACACTCAGTTCAGCCTGCTGGAGGAAATTCGGCATTTTCTTTGGTTTCCCCTTCAAAACCACAAAAATCGGGGCCAGAGACTCTGAAAAATGGGACATGTGTTCCTGTTGGCTTCCCTTAAAAACCCGCCCAAAAAAACGATGCCAAAAAAACCTTTAGTCGTGGCTTCCCTTTAAACCAACCCCCCCTCCCCCGCCAAAAAAAACAAAAACGAAAAAGGCCAAACAAATAACGCCACCCCCCCAGCAAATCTCCGAAGCCCTGAAGATCCCCACCCCCATCGCTCCAGTGTTCCTTCCCCCGAGGCGTCGGCATTCAGCTTGGGGCCAGAGCCCAGCTTCGCCTTGATCACGAAGTCCAGGCCGCCCAGCATCAAGCTGGACACCGCAAAGCTGACCTCCAGCTGGTCTCTTTCTCTTTGTTTGTTGTTGTTTTGCTTTTTGTGTCCGTTGTTTTTGTTGGTTCCGCTCTTCTGGTTGTTGTTGTTTTTGGTTTTTTTCTCCTTACGGAGAAGTCATCCAACAAAAAGACGGGGGGGAGAGTGGTCAAAGTTGTCTCATAATATATTTGAAACAAGACATTTTGTAAATTGTCATGTATGTTGTTCAATAAACTGCCACCCGAAACCGCCGCCAAGGCACCAGCAACAAGGCTGGTTGGGCTGGGCAGGTGCTGCAACCGAAGAAGCCATAAACATTATAACGGCTGGTCGGGGACCCTTTCGTTTTTCCAGCCCCTGTCCCCGTTTGGACCTCCGATTTATGTTAACATGTTTGGAGATCAGCAAAAGCAACATTGTCTGCCTAACTGACACAAAGCCTTCCGCTTTTAGCTCGATCGCATTTCCACCAGAGGTTGAAGGTCGAACCAAAAGTCAAGGCACTAAGATGCACCTGGTCACCGTGCTATCGAAGCGTCTCATGTCTTTGTGTTGCAAGTCGAGCATTCATCCCATGCTTTTCACACCCAGCAAATGTATTTCAGGTGTAAAGATTCCTTGCATCCTGCTTGCAGTTGACTTGCCGTCTACCCACCTGGGCTACCGCAAACGCTGGTTAGTTTGTTCTCCCATGACGCACGCAGCGCGCTGGTCGAACATAACCCGTGTCTTCTTAGGGCCAATGTGGTCAGGGCCAATGGAAACCATTTGGATCTCTTTGTTTAGGGGATCCCCAATTGGTGGTTTTCCTTTTGGTTCCTCATCAAAAACGGCATACCCATCACACCGCTTGGGGTAGCGGTCGCAAGGACACCGGTTTCGCCACGAGAAACGTGTCACCAGTGCGGCAGCGCTGTGGTCTCTTTGGCCTTGCATCTTCCCGGCTTGAAATCTGCCATCTGAAGTCGATCCAGTTCTCCAAACACCTCCAAACACCTCCAAACACCTCCAAACACCTCCAAACACCTCCGGTTGCCGGGTACCTGTTGCCGGGTACCTGGTTTAACTCTTGGCACCAAATCGAGGGAACACGGCAACTCCGCCTCACGACAACGACACGGCGTTTAGAACTCGACTCAGCCCCCGGCGCCCCACCAGAAGCTTTTAGAGGCCTCGACTCAGCTCGGAGTCGGTCCGGAAACCCCAAAGCAGGGTTGATTTGCCGACCTCGCAGGTCTTTCCCGAAGAAATACCTGGCATGTTGGGTGTCTTTTTTTGGAGTTGGTACCCGTTTTTGCAGCGGATTTAAAGGGCAACCAAAAGCAAAACCACGCTTTTGGTGGTTCCAGATAAAGAAGAAGACAAAAACTAAAAACTGGAGACCCTCTGTAAAAGCTGTTATGGCCTGTGCACTGTGGTCTCTTCCCCCTAAGAATAAATACGCCACCCCTACCCGCCCACCCCGCCCAGAGAAAAACATCGAGTAATAGGGTGCATGTGTGTCTGTGTGTCAAAATATGTAAACCCCCCCCAAAAAAATGTCGGGTGTCCTTGGTGTCCTTGTGGTTTCCCTTTAAACAAATCCAAAAAGGGTCCCTCAAAAAAATTGACACACCCATGCATAGGTGTCCTGTTGGTACAATAGATGGCCGTGGTCAATGGAATAAAGCCAATCTAAACCAGCAACCCATCAATGTCTACCCAAACCAACCGATCAAAAGGACGCCTTTGCACCCATGTATCACAAGGTACAAGTGACAATTCCCAGCGATCTAAGTCAATGACCGCTGCTATGCCAGCACCGCCACTGCTTTCCGCGAGCGTGACTACTGCTGCCTTAGCTTCCGTTGCCAAACAAATTGACCCCAGCAACTCTCGTCTTGGCTCCTCCAAGTTATTCAACAAAAGAAGTGCGATGATGGGAAGCCTTGCTGGAAAACTTGTGGACTGACACAAGGAATCGGACCTTTGACACAAGCCCAATCAGCTCTTGAGCGTGCAGATTCCAGAACTTGCGGTCCAATCAATCAAGATGTCAGCACGCAAAAACAAAAGAACACCCGAAACGACGAGAACAAGCACGTCCTGCCATGGGTGCGTCATGGGCCCGGCCCTGCATAAAACTTTATTAATGTTCGGCAGCCCACCAGCATGACCCTCCCCGAAAAACAAATATGGAACAGAAAGGGAGGTCTCTGTTGCAGGATTTTCTATCGGGTCCATTTCAGGTTCCATGTTCGCTTCTGGGTGGATAGTATGACTGCCTGGAGAAGCTCACATCGCCGCTCTTCCCCGGATTTTGCCCGATGGAAAGAAGATCCATCGCATGCTGACCTTGGCCGCTGCGCCAAAAAAAAAAGAAAAAAGGCGACACAAATCCGTCGCATGCTGACATTGGCTGCTCCGCACGAAAACAGACGACCGCCGAGGTGCGCAAACGACCCCGGCGAAGAGGCACGCCCACTCGGGGCCTGAGATGGCCTGCTTCTCCTTCAAGATGAGGGTCTGCCTCTGAACGGGTCTCCCAGCCCCGGACCTTCCGGATTCCCCAAAACGCTGAAAAGGAGCGAACCGGTCTGGAGCTCATAAAAGGGGGCTTCCTGGGGAAAAGAAGGCTCCAGCAACAACTCGCAGAAGAGACTTGTGATGTTGACCCACTTTGAGGGCTCTCCACTCAAAGCCCCTACCCAGTTTCGACTTGGTCCGCGAGACGGCGGCCTCAACCCTCGGCTTTTCACTGCCAACATGCCTCAAGCCATGGTCTCTCATGTGTGGCTCTTCCATTGGATCGCGCCAGGCTCTGAAAGTCATACAATACAGCAACCTCAGCCTCGTGGCCTGGTCAACCCACCTTGGCAAGACACATACCTGGAAACATACCTTCCTGCCTTCATACGCCCGGGAAAAAAAAAAAACTCCAGGGCCCCGCACATCAGGCCGGTGGTAATCGGCGAGCAAGCGCGGATGATCATTACCAGTGAGAGAGGGATCAGAGACCTGTGCCGTCGCCAAAAAAAAGCTCTTCCAAAAGACGAAGAAAAAAAAAGTCTGAAGCGCAAAATGCAACTCGCACTTAGCATTCGAGCAATCCTGGGCAGCCCGACAGGGACAGCAGATTCAAGCCGATATTCATGGAGAAGGCAACGCTAAGTGCCAGCACCAGCCCGATCTCATTCTTCCTGCACGCGGCTAGGGCAACGTGGAGACAGGGGACATGGCCAAAAAACTTGCAAGAACGAATCACCCTAAGCACTCAAAGTCCCATCCTCCGTAAAGTTGGATGCAGCCACGCGTGGTCGTCTTAAACTGGGGCCCCAGTCTTGGCGGGATCTCCATATTTCACCAGGCGGCGCAACTCATGCACTGAAACGGGTATTTTATCAAATGCTGGGCGCCGGGCTTCAGCTTCTTGATGGTCAAGGGTCGGCCAATCAGCCGAGCCACCGCCAGGATGGTGAGCATGATGCTAAAGCTCACCTGGGCCCGTCTTTTCGCTCGGGTTGTACCCCCAAAAAATGGCGCAACGGTGTTTGCCTTGGTCCGACTTTTGCAGCCCGCAGAGGCCACACGAAACCTAGCAGTCCGTTTTCTGGACGAAGACACCTCGCGCGCGTCGGGTCGCCCGAAGCGGCGAGGCGGTGTAGAGCGCCCAGTCTCCCCAGGCCGAGCCCGTGAGGCCGTCCTGGAACAGCATGCCCATGATCGCCATCATCGCCAGGCGCCCGTTGGCCAGGTCCCGGTTGAGGCTCTTCTCGTTCTCCACGGGGTCGCGAATGCCACCGAGACCGGGAAGCCCCCAGCGCCCGATGGACTTGTAGTTTCCCGGTGGGCGCGTGTCGTCATACGCGAGGACGGTGGTCTCCATCAGGCCGATGAAGGCAACGATCTGAAGCCAGCCTATTGCTGGTACCTTCCCGATCGCAGCCAACCCGTTGGGGACGTCTGCGAACTTCAGGTTCATCTGCGGCGACAAATACCCCGGCCATTTTCCGCCGAGCTCCGGCTGCAGGTAGCCCATGCAAGCGCACATCGCGATGCGCCCGTGCTTGTACTCAGTGTGGCGCCGCCGCTTGAATACCGCCTCATCGCCGTCGGCGGCCAGGCCCAGCGGGTCCCAAAAGCCCAAGGGCGCCTGTGCGCCGATCTCGTTCTCGAACGCGGCCGGCGCGACGGAGCGCCTCTTGGGCCGCCGGAAATCCCCCGCCGACCGCCCGGCGAGCAAGCCGACGCAGACTGTGCCGAGCGCGGAAGAACGCGCGCCTCGCAGCGGCCGCGCCGTGCGGGCGCGCCCCGCGGCGCCGCTCCTCTCCGGGCGCGCGGCAGCGCGGCCTCCGGGAGCCGTGATGGCGGCGGCATGGCGGCCGAGCCCGCTGGCCAGCGCCGGCATGCCGGCTCGGCTGGATGGTGTCGCTGGGAACTTGTACTTGAGAGCGCAAATGGAACCGGATAGGAATGTATAGGACGGCCGGTCACACAAAGACCCTGGCATGCAAAGCTTGGCCCAAGCAAGTTCTTGTACGGGTTGGATTCCCTGTAAAGAAAAGGAACTCCCCGGAAAATAAGAATCAAGGTTCTTCGTCGTCGAGGGGCTCAGTCCAGCGTTTTAAGGGACATGCCCGCTGATTTCTCACACAAATTATCCTTAGTTCTGCGGATTCTTTAGATGCAAGTATCATAATGTAGAAACAGGCCTTATTGGATGGAACTGGGAGGTTGCATCATCCGCATTCAACGCGCAATCGCACCTTTGCGATGATCTGGAACCAATGCCCTGCCACCACGGGCTGTGATATGTCAGCACGTTACTTCCTCGCCTTATTCAACCAAACCTACCATCAGTCCCTTTGCATGCGTGTATGCATACCCTTCAGGCGAAAGATTGCAAATGAAAGAACGAGCGACAAACGTGGCGTTGAAACCCGCTTCGCGCCAAGAGATGCGGGAGCTCAGACAACAACTCAACGAAAGAGGAGCTTTTCGATTCAGAAGCCTTGCACGTCGTTTGAAAAGCTTTGTGCTAAAGATCCAGCTAACTGTATGCGCTTCGCACTTCACTCCTTCAAGTACCCAGATGTACGCCAGAAGACTGGATCTCAAACAAGGGGAAACCCCGAAAAGTACGGGGCTTCCCCTGGCACCCTGTTCTTCCCTCGACGTCCGATCCGTGAAAACGGATCGGCGAAGTCGAAAGCCGGCGGATTCCAGGCACGACGCCAGCTGCTGGCTGCCCACCACAAAGAAGGAAGCTGGTACCCCGAAGAGATCTTTGGCCACCTGACGCACCAAAGGTCGCGTGGACTCTGTCCTGAAAGACTCCAAAACGAAGTTGTCGAAAACCGGAACCCGAGAAACCGCAAAGGTCCTGTGTTTGTAAACCAAGTGAGTATGGGTCAAAACTAGACTACCAGGGGACCGACACCTTAGGAAGACTTTAACCTGGCAATGGCTGTGGCTCGTCCAAATGGGGATTTGGACCCCACTAACCGAGGTCAACATGCTACCCTCAAAGAATACGCACCCAAACGTCCTTGCTGGAGTGCTTCTAATACTCCTGGTCTCTGTGGATTGAACAACCACTGCTACCTTAGTATTCAACATCGGCCGAAGATGTTGCTTCATTGTTGCAACGTCTCCCTTGTCAGGAGCCATTCAAACTGAGCAACAATCGTAAGATCATGACAATGGCAGTGTTTGCTTTTTCTTCTGGCCGAGCCTTCACTTTTGCGAGCACCGTCTTCATCATGAAGCTCATGCCGGACCTCAGCAAGTGCTCACTTGACTGCCCCTTCGCAACCTCGTTTTCAACTGGCGAGTGGCCTAGGCCACGTAGTGTGACATAAGGGAAATGAAATGGCCGAAGATTTTCTAGGTCCTCCAGTAAAGAGGTTAGGGTTTAGGGTACCCGATTCTTTTTCTGCAGTCTATTTTAGTAGGGGAACCCTCCCAACCCAAAAAGGGGACCTAGTTATGAATGCAGGTGCTCGTAAAGACCTGCTCATCAGTCAACAAAACTTGCAAGGTCTGGGAGAAAAAACAGTTTGCTGAGTGACAAGCTAGCAGAAGGAACCTTGATTCAATCGGAGACATTGGAATCAAGTTGACAACTCACATCCGTTGTTGGTTGAAAAAGCGGGCCAACCACCTTTAGGCGCCATCCTACTGCGAAAGCCGGACTCATCCGGTACAAAAGCAGCTGACGCGCGCGACGTCCGGACAACACCAAGGCCCTGGCTGAAGGAAGAAATAGCTACCGAAGAGCCCAGCCTCCACGTAAGGCAACTTTTCATCTTGATCTGACTGACTGGATGGCCCAATTGGATCACCAGTCTTCAAATTGACCCCAGCAACAAATCCCAAACTTTGCCCAACCACAACAGCTGGCGTGATGCAAGGTCGCCCAAAGTGCCAACAGCCGTCTCCTAGTCAGCACACTGCCATGAAGCAACTCCGCTCGGTCTCTCGATCTCCGCACCCCGCCTCCAGAACTGGAGACGTCTTCTGCCTTCGGCGCTTGGAAGACGGCAGTGGCAGAGAGACCACTGCACAAACCCAGCTGATTGTGAAGCGAAGCCCGGAAGCTCTCCAGAGAAAAGCCTGGCAGAAAGCCATCTACTCGGGGTCTTATTTCTTTTGTTGAGCCCTTGGGATGAAGGAAACATAGGGATGCGAAGCCCCTCCAGTGGTTCAGGCCAGATCTGCGGCCTAGGCTTCAATCCACCGAGAAAAAATAACATAAAAAAAGGTGTTCAATGGCTTTCCGCTCAAAAAGTCGGCGGCGTGAACATCTTGAGTCCATTCTTGAGGACTCTTTTGTGGGGGTAAGGGGAAGAATGGCACCGGTTTCAGGAGGTCCTGGAGGAAAGACACGACCAAGTATGGGGCTTTGTGTTTCTTGGTTGAGGGTCTTTCTTCAAGGTCGGAAAGCCAAAAGGACAACCACAATTGGTTGGTTGTGCCACTAGGAGATGTTGACCCATACCCACATGAAGCTGACTGATTCACGTTCAAAGTCTGCAAGGGCTCGCTTCAACTACACAAGGATTTCTGCCTCGTTCCCTGGCCCAGCTGTCCGAATGCCATGGAATGTTTGGACATCAGAAATACCACGTGTGGCTCTGTCTTCTTGGGGGGACCCCAATTTTGGGTGTCTGTTCAGGAAAACCAAAAGGAAAACTACCTCTCTCTTTGTTGGGGGGACCCCTAAAAAAGAGGCACGTTTATGTCTATCCAGGTGTGACCAGGTCAAACTGGGCCCCACGCTCCTGGGTCTCAGCGGCCCTCGCTGAGCCTTGTCACAGGCTGAAAGAGGTCGAAGGAAGACCCACGGATGGCTCAGGTTCTGGGCCATCTGGGCCCGGGTCAAAATTAAACCACTAGGGACCGCAGGCTTTAGTACTTGTTTCTATTCACCTGGTGTGCTTTTGACCCACACCCATCTGGGTATGTGCCACAATAGGGCCACCTCCAAAATGGCGCGTCGGTGGCTATCCAATCCCCCAAAAAGGGCCTTCCGCGAACAACACACGCACCGCCTATCTTGCAACAAACGAAAGCACTGTAAACCCAGACCCGCCCGGAAAAGGCGCCGCAACTTTTGGCTGGCGACGCCTATCCGAAGCTCTTCTGCCACGGCCTTCAAAGGGCGTCCTTCATGACAGCCCCGCAAACCGGCTTCTACGAAGTTCAGTTGCCGCTCCGCTCCGCTCAAGAAAGGAAAGGAAAGTGCAATATGGCTATGAATTGGGGACGACCTTGTCATAATTTTTCCGCCGATTCAAGGGGAGTTTGGCCAAGGGCGCTATGTTGGTGGAAACGCAAAGGCAACGAGAAAAAAACATCCGCCATGCTCAACGTGCGTGCGTGCGTGCGTGCGTGCGTGCGTGCGTGCGTGCGTGCGTGCGTGCGTGCGTGCGTGCGTGCGTGCGTGCGTGCGTGCGTGCGTGCGTGCGTGCGTGCGTGCGTGCGTGCGTGCGTGCGTGCGTGCGTGCGCGCGCGCGTGCGTGCGTGCGTGCGTGCGTGTGTGTGTGTGTGTGTGTGTGTGTGTGCCAAATGGTGTGCCTGGATATCCAACTGACAAAGCATTCCAACGGCTCATGGATGCGTCCCTTTTCTGGGGGGGATGCCGAAAAAGGACACCAGCCATTTGAGTTGTTTCTTCTTTTGGGGTGTGCAGCATTTTCGCGCCAAAAGGCAAGCCGAGGCCACTTTTGAGGTCTCCCCGATTTAGACACACAGGCACGAGCAAAGCCGGCAAGCACGTCGAAATCTGAGCCGCGTGGGCCGAATTTCCCTGTGCTTTGGCATCCGCGAAAAGGCAAAGGCCGGCGTTTCTCTTGGGCCAAGCTGCATGAGGGATGGCCCAAAGATTGCAGCTCCTCGCTTCTTTTTTGAAGCTAACAGGTTGTGCCGCAGTTCTGGCCGGGGGAATCAGAAAAGATGGGCAGTTGTTCAAGCCCAGAACTTCTGGTTCATTGGTCGGACGTTTCAAGAGATCTGAATGTGCCCCCTTCCAAAGGTGGGATTTGTCACGCCCCGCGGCCTCGAGAAGAGTGTGCCTCTTTTCGGGTGGATGGGCGACCAATGTGAAAACGAGCTCATGTTTGGAACCCTCCCGCTAATTTACATGGAACCTCACGGGGGGATGGGGGGTCCCTTTGAAAGGAAAAGTTGCCGGACCAAAATTCCATCGCGAAAGGCTCAAAGCACATGCGGAGGTGAAATAACTGTCGCCCACTGGATTGAGAGCTGTCGGGTTAAATTTGCTGAGGACTCAGCAAGGTGAAATCTCTGCGAACCCTAGTGCCTTGCTCCTTTCTAGCGTATGCATCAGTCTGAAACCAGCTGATCAGAACACTTTGTGCAAGCTCCCTTCAGAACACTTTGTGCATCAGATCTGCAATGATAGCTGTCCCTTTCCAGACTCATCATACAGGCCACTGGGATCAGCATAGGCTCCAGAAGGGTGGCACCACCCCATCACTCCTGTCACTGGGAATACAAAAGAAAGTTCGGGCTCCAATAAAACCTTGTTTTGGTAGCCAGGAGGATGACGTAGTCTGTACGTTGACAAAGTTGGCTTCAAACAAACCGCTTGCCCTGTGAGGGATGACGGCGAAACTGCTAGTCGTCCCTCGGCTGAGCAGCTGGGAAAAAGGGTCAGTCCATCCTCTTGTGCCCGAAGTGGAACAAACTCCTGCTCGCAAAATTGGGGAAAGGGTTCTTCCCAGAGGCCCGGACGCCAAACAGGAAACACACCTGGAATCCTTTGCGCACCGCCTCTGAAAACTTCAGGCCACGCAAAAAGAAACGTGCATTGCAATCTGCGCGATTCGCCTCTCTCCCAGCAAACAATAGCTATGCACAACTCACTCGGTGCGCGCTGCCAGGCATTGCCATCCTGCGGGAAAGGTACGACCTGGAAGAGAAGCAAATAAAGCAACTGCGAAACCTGAACTCGCAATATACCCAAAACACGAGAAGCGGACATGGGGTTTCTGCCTATGTTTTTTGTGCTCCCATCGGGACCCTAAAAATCTTCACGTGGGTCTAATAGACCTCACATGGAGAATGCGCATCGTTCGATTTGGAAGCCGGCAACCTCTTCAGCTGAGCACCCGACCGCAGGCGCTAAGCTGGAGAATCCTCAGACCACGGGATCAGGTGAGCAACTCTCAGACTCCCTTGGACCGTGCCAAAGCGCCATGCCTTCATGATGAACTCTGTTGAGAAGAGGTTTTCGCAAAAGGCGGAATGAATAATTAGGTAAACCATGTCTGACATACTCATCAACTGCACGCGCTGATGTAGAAGATAGGATTGATATGCCATGCTCCTGAGCATGCGAATTCTGCAACAGGCACTCTGACGGTGCATTCGTGAAGCCAAGCCAACTCGAGTTGTCTTGTGCAAATGCCCTTCGTCTCACGCTTTTCCAGCTGCAGTTTCTGCAGTCCGCAAAGTTCCAAAAAGGCGCCGAAGCGGTGAGGAGAGATTCGAACCCTGGCCTCAAACCTTCGGCTCCTGAGTTGCACTATCGATTGCTCAAAGGCCGCCGCGAGAGAGTTCTCTCTCGAGTTCTCCGGGCGGCGTAGACCTAGAAAAGCTTTGAGCGGGGTGAAACCGGTGTCTCAATTCCATCCGAGCTGGTACTCACAAATCCGCCAGTCCACAGACTCCATCCACCGTTGGCCTTGCCAGCTCTGGATGCCTCGGACAAGGAAAAAGCGTGGCACAGCCCTTGCATTTTTTTTGGGCTGTCCGACGGATCCAGACATCACCAGGCGAACGGAGGCCAAGGCACATGCATCATCGGCGCAACGGACACAATGATATCTGTCATCACCGTAGAGCGTCTGGTTGAAGATCTGAGGCAAACTAGATACCACGTGCCACACATTCAATACAACCACGGCCCGTTTTCCGCCCATCACCTTTCTTTGGATGGTTTAAAGGGCACCAAAAACGAACCCAAGCATCCCGCAGGGAAATTCTCTCTCTCCCGCTCAAACCCACGAAAATCCCGCGCAGATGGTTGTTTATTCTCCTTCTTTTGGATCAATCATCCGCTTTTTACCTCGTTTTTTTTGGTTCAATCATCCGCCTGGCGCGCCCAGCACCAGGGGGTTCCCTCGAACATGGCCCTGGGGGGCCACTGCAGGAACCAGCCCACGTGCACCGCGAGGATCACCAGCCACAGGACCAGCGCCACGATGTGGACGATGCGCTCGCTGGGCAAGACCACCAAGTTACCTGGGTCTGGGTCACCGTTGTGGGATCCCATTTTGGTTGGGATTCGTGATTTCACCACCCATTTTAGAACCTTTGGTGGTTGGATTGGGATGTTCATTGGGGGCTAACCGGGACTTTGACCCATGGCCACCTGGGTCTGGGTCAAAATTCAAGCACCAGGATATGGACCGCAGATTGTTAGTCTATGTCTCCATTTACCAGGGCAACCCATTTTGGGTACCAATTTGGACCCGCAGCCTGTACCGGAACCGGAACCGGAAAACACACACACACTGGTTTGGGACCCAAACTTGTGGTTCGAACTTGTAAACCAACCTGGGTGCCAGCTCCAAGGGGGGATGTCCCTTAACCATAAAAAAGGGGCGCTGTCCAAAAACGACACACCCAACTCAGGCTATGACGCGTGTTCAAAGAGACAAGTTGCAGCAACTTGAGCTTGCTTTGTTTCGATCTTGGCCGGTCTCCCTCAAAACCCTGCAAACATGGCAGTGTTTTTCAACTTGGGACAAAGATCCTGTGACAATCAAATGGACTAGAAATTGCTGCTTCTTCAGGGTAATTAGAGTTCCGCCTAGTGGCTTGTCTTGGTCCAACAATCACTTGCCTCAAGTCTACCTCAAGGGGTACCCTCTTCTTGGTTTTCAAGGGAAACCACATAGAGTGCATGTGTTTGTCTGTATCTTAAAACAGGGGACCCCAAAAATTGAGTTCGGTCTTCCTTCTGGTCTTCCTTAAACTCGGCCTAAAAGGAAACACCCACGCTACAAAAGAAGAAGAAGAAGACGGCCACGACCCCGGGCTTTGGCGCCAAAAACCCGCTCGAACACAAATCCGATGGATGCGAGGAGCGGGTGATCAGAATCCCCAGCAGCAGTCCAGAGAAGGCCCCGCCCATGTGCGCCGTGTGGCTCACCACCTCCGCGGCCACTGAGGTGTCCTGCCTCGGGCTCTCAAGGCTCAACGAGCCAAGGAAAATCACACCGAAGTATGGGGTGTACAGTTGGGTCGACCAAAATATGGGGTGTACGCTTTGGGTCTGAGGCGATTTGGGTGGCCTTGTTCAGAACCGAAAGCGATTCCTGCAGCTATGCGCCTTCCAAAAGGCACCTAGTTACCTGGTTTCCACCGATTTCTCAGCTGTGAGGGTGTGTGTGCCTGAATCGGAAACCGACGGAAGATTCCTTCCCAAGCATGGGTTATCCATTTGACATATTGAGGTTGATCAAAGGGTCCTTTACATGTGACCATGGGAGAAAAAAACCAAAAAAAAAGACTCGATCTGTTAACCACATGGGAAAAGTTGCCCATGGTCCATGGTCAAAACTGGGGGCCCTAAAAGGAATATTGATCAACCCCCATGTGTCTGCTGGGACCTTTGAATGTCAGATTCCATGAAGCCGGGCTTCGACTCCGTGACATTGATACTGACGATGTCAAGCACCACCACGAGAATCCTCAGGCAAGTCGAGGCCCAAAATCGTGTTAGTCCAAATCCTTTTGCTCAATTTCAATTCTCACCAAGTCAAGTCTCTAAGGATTTTTAGTGCAAATCCTTTTGCTCTGAAGTCAACCCTCGGGTTCCCTGAAACAAACGCCGCTACATTCTCCGGCTACAACACCACCTGATGCAAAAAGTCAGTGAGTCATGACACGAAGAGATCTTCTCTGGCTACAACACTACCTGATGCAAAAAACCGAAGAGATCTTATGGCCGAGCGACAACACGAACAGCTTGGCCCAGCGATATCTGCTCTGCTTCCAGTTCATCCCCAGCTCTGCAAAGTGTGCGAAGAGCAGGGCGTAGCAGCCCGCAGACATGCCCGCCAGGGCGGAGTGAGGGTTCCAGACCATGTTGAAGAGCGCGCCTGAAGCAAAAAAGGCGAAACAAAAATGCACATCTCCGCCCCACGGCGAATCAATCCAGAAATCGTTGAACCGGGATCCTTACATTATACACCTGAACCTTGCCACTTGTAAATGGTGGCTTCCAACTTGATTTTGGCGTTGAAAGAGCCAGCCATGTCTCAAATGGTCAAGCAAAACTGAAGATCTTTTAAGGAGCCCCGTTGACTCCAACGGATCGAGCCGCTGCTTCTCTCAACCGAAAAAATCCGCGCCTCGGAGCCTTCGGAAACGGATCGGAAACGGCACGGAAACGGCACCACGGCGCCACGGGAGCCGTTTGGATAAGACCTCCTCGATTTTTAGGGTGTCCTGGGCCCTTTACTTTGTTTTCCCCGATCTCCAAAGGTGATCTTGAGAACAAATTTGCCATCTGAATGGTGGTTGTTTCAGGGTTTCCCTTTTTTGCCACCAGCCTTTGCGTGGACTTCAACGGGTTTTCGGTGGTGTTTTCTTCTTTGCCACCAGTTGGGCGTCGACTTTTCGACAGTGCTTTTTTTTTCTTGGTTTTTCGCCTGTGAAGACGCCGACGTTGAAGAGCAGGAAGATCCTGAGGTGCCCTTGGAACTGCTCCAAGGGCAGGCCCGCCATGAGCAGAATGAAGACGTTCCTTAGGAGGGACGGGAGGGAAATCGGGGGGGCAAATGGGGGGGGACATGGGGGGGGATGTTGCCTTAGACTTACTAGGGAGTAGATCAGTATCCTCGCCCTGTTGGGCGGGGCTGTGCGATACTCTGGACAAATCAGCTTCGCGTTGGGATGGACGAAACCCTAGCGGAAAGTGGTTCAACCACTTGCCAGCTGGTGCAGCATCGCATCCATCCACAGAAGGAGCAGCGAATTAGAAGCCAATCCGTGTCGATGGAATTCCAACCTCTTGGACTTCCGTTCGCTCGCTTGCAGTTTCTGCAAGCCCGAAGGGAAACAAATTCAAACCTGCAATACATTCAGTCTCCACGTGAAAGGGAAACCGGAGGGCAACACTTCGACCACGTCTCCGCGCTGAAGGCTTGTAGCTTTTCTTCGGCTGGCAATGCTCGGCCATTGAAGCGCATTGGGGCATACTGCATCTGTAATTCCTGGTGAAACCATCGAAACAAGAGTCCAACTTTGGGACACAATGGCATTCGTGCCTCAAACCTCTATTCGCTTCGAGCGACAACTCCCTGGTATCCAATCCATCTGAGCAATGTACGACAATTCAAACAAACCTTCATGGGTTCTTTCTCGCTCGCAAGGTGATGTTGGGGGCTCATCCCCCAAATAGGCTTCGTGGGAACTATAGACCATCATCATCGTTTGAGTGGCTTTCCCAATCAATGGTCCTCCCACCTATCACGGAGCCTTTGATCCACCCCCATGTCCCAAAACCCAGAAATGGCTGTGGCTCACCAAAACGGAATTCCAAAATGGGTCACCCGATCGGTAAGTGGAAACATGGACCAAGACCTGCCGTTTGCCCCCCCGATCGTTTCATTTTGATTGCCACACCCATATGGGGTCTGTTTGTTTCTTTGAGGGGGGGAACCCTTTTGGGTTGTTAAAGGGAAACCAAGAGGAACACCCCCTATCCAGGGGATCCCCCAAATTCGCCACACCCACATTCGCCCGCAGCGAGCGAGGCCTCACTGCCTGAGATGGAAGGCGCTGGCCTTGAGGGCCGAGAGCACCTGCTCCACTCGCTGATCTGTGGCCTGGATGTGGCCCTGCAAAGCCTCCTGAGTGTAAGGCAAGAGAAAGGAAAGAGAGAGAGAGAGAGAGACAGAGAGAGAGAGAGAGAGAGAGAGAGAGAGAGAGAGAGAGACAGAGAGAGAGAGAGAGACAGAGACAGAGAGAGAGAGAGAGAGGTTCTGAGCGAATCATTCCCTTCCTTTCCCTTCTGGCTTCCAGGAAAGCCGGATCTTGGCTTCGGCCTTCAGATCTCCTGCTCAAAAGTTGAACTGGTGCGTGAAATTCGTTGAAACCACCACTCAACCAACTAAAAGGCGAAA